TGTTTTCTTTTTAGGGTTTAGCTGGAAATTTTGGTCAGATGTCATTCTATAGCCTTCAGCTTGGAAAAACCAAACTGAATTTAGCTCTTGCATTTTGGGTTTGCTTTGCCAGGGTGGTCAGAGATAACTGGTTCCAATTTGGGCTCCTGCTTCCCTACCTTGTCTCTCTCTCGCTTGCTCTCTCTCCCCTCCCATCACACACACAGACACACACATATGCATGCGTGAGCACACACACACTACATACACATACATTGTCCCACTAAACAAGGCTGTCTTTCAAGACGGTCTGTAAAGCCCTCATAGTGGAATTCTGGTTTCATTATGGCCTTCAGCTACTAGAGGAGTACAGGGTCTAAATGGGCTTATTTTTAATATACCACCCAAAATTTCACAAAGTTAGAACTCCTAATTTGTGAACATATAAAAGTAAGGAAAATAACTTTGTACCTATTACCTTTTATCTTTAAGGTTTCAAATTTTCAAAGACAACAAAACTGGGGAAGGGTTCCCCCAAGACCCTATCTATCTTCCATTTGATCTTGATTGATTCATAAGAACAATAGAATGCCTCTGTGTTCCTGGGATCCCATTGGGAGCATATTTCTATTTTTAAGAAACACATGGGAATCTGCTTATAAGTTCTGTAGATGCCAGTGAAAACTGAAGATGCCATTGTTTGAACTCCCCCCCCTTTTATTTCTTAAAGGTAGAAACTGGATTATACTCTCTGATAAAGTTTAAAGGGATATAAAAACACAAACAAATCTCTCCCCTCTGCTACCAAATCCCACCCTGTACCACCATTACTGAGCAGAAATTGGTGCCATTTTATACCATCAAAAGGTACCTTAGACTTTAGCTAGAGTCAAGGAGTAGGCATGTTTGAATATGCACATAATAACAAATATGCAAGAAAAAAGTCTAGATACGTAATTAGAATTGTTAAAACTATCTTAAGGAAGGTGAAAACTATTTCTAATAGTTTTTTAAATGAGTCAATGGGTAAGAAAGTATTTAATATTTCAAATTTGGATTTCCATAAATTAAAATAGTTATAATGTCCTATAACATGTACTTAAAAGTGAAATTTGTGGTGTTTGGTTACTGATATGGTTTGGCTCTGTGTTCCCACCCAAATTTCATCTCAAACTGTAATCCCCAATTATGGAGGGAGGTGATTGGATCATGTAGACGGTTTTCCCCATGCTGTTCTCATGATAGTGAATGAGTTCTCATAAGATCTGATTAAGTTAAAACTGTGGCACTTCCCTTTCACTCACTCCTCCTGCAGCCTTGTGAAGAAAGTACTTGCTTCTCCTTCACTTCCTCCATGATTGTAAATTTCCTGAGGCCTCCCAAGCCATGCATAACTGGGAGGTCAATTAAACCAGTCTCAGGTAGTATCTTTTTGGCAGAGTGATAATAGATTAATACAGAAAATTGGTACAGGCAGAGTAGGGTACTACTATAAAGTTAACCTGAACCTATGGAAGTGACTTTGGAACTGGGTAACAGGCAGAGGTTGGAACAGTTTGGAGGGCTCAGAAGAAGACAGGAAGATATGGGAAAGTTTGGAACTTTCTGGAGACTTGTTGAATGACTTTGACCAAAATGCTGATAGTGATATGGACAATGAAGTCCAGGCTGAGGTGGTCTCAGATGGAGATGAGAAACTTATTGGGAACTGTAGCAAAGGTCACTCAGGCTATGTTTTAGCAAAGAGACTGATAGAATTTTCCCCCTGTCCTAGAGATTTGTGGAACTTTGAACTTGAGAGAGATTATTTAGGGTATCTGATGGAAGAAATTTCTAAGCAGCAAAACATTCAAGAGGTGATCTGGCTAATTCTGAAAGCATTAGTTATATGTGTTCACAAAGAGATGATTTGAAATTGGAAATTATGTCTAAAATGCAAGCAGAACATAAGGTTTGGAAAATTTGCAGCCTGACTGTAAGATAGAAAAGAAAAATCAATTTTCTGGGGAGGAATTCAAGCCTGCTGCAGAAATTTGCATAAGTAATGAGAAGCTGAATGTTATTAGCCAAGACAATGGAGAAAATGTCTACAGGGCATGTACAGACTTTCACAAAAGGCCCTCCCATCACAGGCCTGGAGGCCTAGGAGGGAAAAAAAATGGCTTCTTGGGCCAGTTACAGGGCCCCACTGCTCTGTGCAGGTTTAAGATGTGGTGCCCTGCATCCCAGTCACTCCAGCTCCAGATGAGGCCTAAAGGGGCAAGGTACAGCTCAGGCTATTGCTTCAGATGACGCCTCAAACCTTTGGTGGCTTCCACGTGGTATTGAGCCTGCAGGCATGCAGAAAACTAGAGTTGAACTTTGGGATCTTCCCTCTAGATTTCAGAGGATGTATGGAAATGCCTGGATGTCCGAACAGAAATCTGCTGCAGGAGTGAAGCCTTCATGGAGAAACTCTGCTAGGGCAGTGCAGAAAAAAAATGTGGGTTTGGAGCCCCCACACAGAGTCCCCCCTGGGGCATTGCCTAATGGAGCTGTGCGAAGAAGATCCCCAACCTCCAGACCCCAGAAAGGTAGATCTATCAACAGCTTGCACCAAGAGCCTGCAAAAGCCTCAGGCACTCAATACCAGTTGGGAAAAGCTACCACAGGGACTGTACCCTGCAGACCCACAGGGGCAGAACTGCCCAAGGCTCCAGGAGCCCACCTCTTGCATCAACATGCCCTGGATATGAGATATAAAGTCAAAGGAGATTTTGGAGCATTAAGATTTAATTACCTCCCAGCCAGGATTCATATTGTAGAGGTGTGACAGGCAGTTAGTTAAACCATTGCTATTTTTCTAGATTTTGTGAAACTTACGGTATTGTTAAGTATTTAAACCTTGCAACTTGTGATTTCTTTTTCTCATTCTAAATAAATACTCACTTTCTGATCTAATCTTGTGTCCTTTTTCTTAAAGAGGGTTTCCCAAACTGTGTAAATTTCAAGTCCCACAAAATCTGGATTTCTGCATAGGAGCTGCTAAATATTTAAAAATAAGATAAAGCTTTTCCTTTTGGTTAATTCTTAATAACACAGTCAAACAGGATCATGGTTCACTTCGTCCAGGATCTGACCTCTGTGATAAAATTGGTAGCTCTGGGGTGTCAGAGCAGAGAACAGTGAGAGACATGTAGATTCATCACCAATCACCCAGCAGGGAGGAAACCTGGGTGGAAACTGGCACCTACTATGGATTTCTGTTCCAGAAAAGAAATCTTCCACAAAGAAGGTCTATTGAAATGATCTGGTGGAGCTTTTACCTAATTTAAAACAAGAAAGACTGTGAGGCTGTTCAGAGAAGTATGAAACACTGGATGGGGGATATCTAGGTTCAATTCACCAAGGTTTGGTTTTCCCACTCTAAAGGAAAAGTTCAGATAAGTAGGCCTAGTGGAGGATGATGAAGATACTCTCCTGTCTTGCTGTCTCTTCTGGTCCTCTGTCAGTGCTGAGTACTGGGCTGGGTTGATGGATGTTATGGGAGGTCCCATGGGCTATGGGGCCAGCAACCCCTGACATGATCTTATAAAAGTTTCTCTGCCTTACAAGAGCAGATGGGATTCAGATGCTAGGATCATCGTTCTGATGCAAGTTGTCAATGTCATGGACCTTTTCCTGAATAGAAGGAGTTTCCATATGTTACTCCTCAACCCATTTATTTGTAATCCTGCTTGCTTGGTCTTTTTGGTATATATGCCCCCATTAAAAGATTAATTTGTCCTTTTGTATCTCAAATACAGCAAAATAAAGTTATAATTCTATTTCACTGTGGGCCCACAATTTGGCTCCAAGGACAGTAATAAAAAATGGTCAAAACACCCACCCTGTTCACTGGACTGGCTACCTATAGGACCCCACAGCAAGGGGTCCCAGGTTTCAAGAAAACCCATTCTGCCCTCTCTGGGAATCTGTACAATTCACATGATTGAAGACCCCTTCCTTTGAGCTGGAGTCAGGGTGGATAATACCTGGATATTGCTTAGCATTGCATTTCATAGGGAATAAAAGGTGTGTGGACGCCTTCAACTAGTCTCTGATGCTCGACGACCTGGAATTTCTGTTTCAGTGCGATCAAAAGAATCAGAGTACAACACAGTCCAGAAAACTACACTGTTCCTAATTTTAGCAGTTCTGACAAAAACGGGCCACTGTCTAAATTATCAAGTAATTTTTTTTATTTGACTGACTAGGTTTTTTGGGGATTCAGTGAAAAAGTCTGTAATCCAGGATAACTATGAGAGAGAATAATGGGAGAGAATGACAGGAGGATCATGGCTGTAAGGTGAAGCAGGACAATGGCACATTTGACCCCAGCTTCTTTATACAAAGGCATTTCCCAGAGGACACAAAGTATTCCTGGTGCTGTGAATCCTGCAAGATCTTAGCACCAGGACATATGGAGGTGGGTTAACAAAGCAAATAGTGCCATTCTTCATGCTGGTTTGAGGCTACTCCTGAAAGAAGCTATATTTCAGGGAAAGAAGGATTTCTGTCTCCTAGTTCAGCAAAATTCATAATCAAGTCATCAAAAAGAAGCGAAGTCAAGGGTTGGTGACTTTTTTTGATGCCCACCTTCTTCTAGTTCAAAGAAGACCCTAAAGGAACCGGCTGAAATGCTTTTTCTGTGACAAGTTTCTACCTTGATTCTCCTGCCCTGAGCATTCTCACCCAATCCTCCCTGAATCCAGTGCTGACTCTCTTGTAATGAGACTTGAATTGTTTTTGCTTTGTTTCATCATCAGCATATTTCATGATTTTCTTTCTTACGGCCCCAGACCCTGCTTTTCTCTATGCCTGGTAAAGATACCTGTCTTTTTATTCTCCCCAGATGCTGTCCCAAAACTGGCATTCTGTGAGGTTCCACCCATTTGGTTTTGGGAGCTCTCCTACTTTAGTGATAGCTGTCCCCATGAGACCTGGTGCTTGCTCAGGCCTGTGAATGGACACCCACTACTTCTACTCTCATCCTACTCCACCTTTTTCCATGTCGCACTTGATCTGCTCTTCCAGATCCTCTGGGGACACAAAGAAGTCCTCTTCTGGCACCGATGACTTGGGCCGGCAACGTCCACAGCAGCAGTTGCAGCAGCAGCACAGGCAGCAGCAAAAATAGCAGCCTGTCAAGAGGCCGATGATAACAAACAGGGTCTAGGGAAACAGAGGCAAAGCAAAATGAGGATGAGGGGTGATGGGGTGGGAGGAGAACCCCAGAAATCAAGTCTGCACCCAGGTGCCCCCAGAGACCTGAAGATTTCACAGTTCACCCCACAGGCCACTTCTTCACCCTCATCCTTACTCCACATAAGAACTATTTCATTTCTTTGGAAACCAATTTCCTGGTAAAGTTTTGCCTATAAATTAGACCCAGAAGAAATGACTTGTAGCTAAAGTAATTAAAGTATGGCATTTCTTTTTTTATTCTTAAGCTATATGGTGATCATTATTAAGAGCAGAGCAAGGAAAGACAAAAACCAAAAAACCAACCAACAAAACCTCTAGAGCCAGCAAGGGGAGCTAAATCATTTTCACCAGAATGCTAAAGAATGATTTGTCTGATACCTCCGCCTCCTACACTCAAATTCCTGCTGGTCACCAAATCCTGGAGAGTGTCTCTCCTCAAGTCTCTTCTATCCTCCTTCATGCCTCTATCCTGGCTAGCCGGGCTTCAGAATGGACCTTCACTATGTCTCGTCTGGATACTCCAGCAGCCTCCCAATTGGCCTCCCTGCCTCGCCTCTTGCCTCCCTTAAATCCACGCCGCGCATTGCTGATGGAGTGAACTTTCCAAAATACACATTCTCTTGAACCCATGCTATGGCTCTCCTGCCTCTCAGATATAGCCAAGTTCCTTATTATGCTGATCCGGCTCTGCCAATGCTTCGTTGCACCAGCACATCCCTGTTCTTGCCTTTCCTTCCCTTATAGTTCTGCTCTCCCTATGCAATACAGGCATTCATCTGCCTGGACGTACAACTCCCAATTCCCCAGTTACATAAGAAAATACCCCCCTGGTGTGTAAGACTCATCTTAAAGATCTCTTCTATGACATCTTTCCTGATCCTGCCCAAAAACAATGACTCCCTCCTTTGTGCCCAATTGCATTTCATGCAGACTTCTACTTTGCTGCTTTCTTTAAGTGATATTTTTAGAACAATCATCAGTTTGTAGGTCTGTTTCATTGTACTAGACTCTGAGCTTCCTGCAAGCTGGCACTATCAGCTAGATAGCTAGTCATCTTTCAGTTCCTCCTACTTAAGGATTTAGTACCTGGTATGTGGTAGATGCTTATAAAATACCAGCTGAATTAATGATTGTATGAAGTAATAAATAAACAAATGATTTGCTCTACCTGGTGAACAGCAGCAGGATTTCCCCAAAAACATAAAAGGGTTGCTTGCGAAGTTTCTTATAGCTAAAGATTAAAAGAAACTCTTGATTCTCCCAATCTGGTTATAAAAAGTCCATTTTTTGTGAATTGAGCAAAATCAATTTATGATTTTATCAAAAATATGTAATTTGAAATAGAAAAAAAGGGTTTATACATCTTTAATTGAAACACAGATTTTTATCTAATTAAGGGAGCAAGAGGGATAAAGAGGACCTGTGTGTCTGTGTACTTCTTCAATAACTTAAGGTAGAAATCTTTGATGCTGACGACCCTCATCTGCCCCACTCCTGTTTCCTAGCCCTGGGCTTCATCTCTGACCCTTGCCCCACATGTGGGGTGGAGCCTCTGATGGCTCAGAGTAGGGGAGCTTCAGTCACATCCTGAAACATATAATCTCTTCTCTATGGAAATTTGACATTTTCATAGTCTTAGGTAAATTCCTCTGAAAACAACTGCAACACCCTCCACCTCACTGTCTCCACGCCCTCCCATGTGGTGTTCTTGAGTCATTGCCCCAAACTCCTCCCTTCTTTAGCTATTTTTGTCCTTTTTGTTTTTACTATGCAATTTCCATATTGTTCCCTTCTCTGAACTTTTTCTTTTCATTCATATACTGTTTTGTTCTTTAATTATTCCAACCTGATTGTTTGCCTTCTGTGAAAATAACCTTGCTTTGACTGGCACAGAGGCTCATTCCTGTAATCCCAACACTTTGGGAGACTGAAGTGGGTGGATCACCTGAGGTCAGAAGTTCGAGACCAGCCTGACCAACATGGAGAAACTCCATCTTTAGTAAAAATACAAAATTAGCCGGTTATGGTGGTACATGCCTGTAATCCTAGCTACTCAGGAGGCTGAGGCAGGAGAATTGCTTGAATCCGGGAGGTGGAGATTGTGGTGAGCCGAGATTGCACCATTGCATTCCAGCTTGGGCAACAAAAGTGAAACTCCGTCTCAAAAAAAAAAAAAAAAAAAGAAAAAGAAAAACCTTGCTTTATCTCTTACAGTGCTTAGCACAGTACTAGGCACAAGTAGGTGTCTAATATTTTCATAAATACATTATCTTTTAGATACATGGATTCATTCATGTAGTGCGTATTTAACACATGATTGCTACATGCAGGGCCACTCTGATGGGTGCCATGAAACTGGGCTTTGGCACAAGGAGAAGGAAAAGATTTTTTTTTTTTTGTGGCCTTATGTTTAAAGAACCACACCAGAAATTATTTTGTTTATCTCTCACACTACTGGGCAGATTGTGCTTGTCCATATGAATTTTGATCAATTTTGTCCCCTTCCTGAGCAAGGAAATTTATTCTCTTGTTTATGCAGGCAGGCCCTGATGTGCAATCAGGTAGTTGTGTGTAATCATCTGGACCTGCCTCTGCAGTATCTTCTCATGGAAACAGTGTCATGCCTGGAGATTGGGTTCCCACGCAAACTCACAGAAGCTTATACTGTTCACTGTCCTATGAACGTTCAATCTATTGACATAAATGACATTGTCAGTGTGTACACTTGCATTCCAAGTTCCAGATCTGCTCTACAGGAACTTCTCTCTCCCCCAATCTTTAGCAATAGAGAAAGGGGTTTCAAATGGGAATTCCAGGTATCCCTGAGAAAAAGAACTCTGAGGATTATAGCAAGCAAATGAGGCTAGGTTGCAAGACTCCTTTTGCATGCTGATGCACAGAAACATATTCTCTCTCTTCCTGCATATGTAAAACTCAAATTTAGCCAGATTTAGTGGAAGAAAATAGCAACCAGATACTACGAGCATGAAACCTGCCTTTTTAGAGATTTAATAATTATTATTGTGTATTGAAACTTATATGAGTGTGAACTGTCCACAAAATATGTTGATGGACTACATGCATGACCCATGTGTAAATATACTTTTATCAGAAGACAAGGACATTAATATTCACAAACAAAAACTATCATCAAACTTATATGTACTAGAGATCTCTAGGAAACCAAACAAAATTTACCACACAAAAGTCAATTCTGATTGCACTAAGTTCTTAAAAATGTCACCTTTTGCTTGACTAGATATCCATTTTGCTCTCTGTCCCCATCTCTGCTTCTCCAATTCCCTGTCCTCCAATAGTAAATTCTTACCTTTTCCCCCTCATTTCCTTCTCCTCTACCTCACAGCAGGCTCCATGTGAGTCTCTGACATAATTACCACTCATTCTCCCCAGTATCGTGTTTGCTGATGTATCCTATGCTATAGATAGTAAAGGACATGGCTAAATTTGCCCCATAATAATTTATTAAGCAGTTGTCACACTAATAAATTATTTTTGGTTTTGAGCAATGACTCAGTCCTTAATTAGTCACTATAAAGAATTAATCTGAAGCTCCAAATTCAAATATAATTAATGTCTAGAAGTATTTTAAATCATGTTGTATCTTACAATTATTTGATGAGCTAAACCAGAAATGATCCTAAATAATAGCTTTCAGTGGAAGCACCATCTCCTTTTACTTACCAGAGTTTAATAACAGGAAGGTTATACTTCCTTTGAGATGGAATCTAAAAGAGTGATTAATATCATGGCCTTATAAGAGATTGTTTTTGAAGAAAGGAAATTCAGATTCACCTTTGCCCACCAGCTCGACAGCATGAAATAGGTGTTAACATTTTCGTCTCCAAACTGCTCGGCCACGTAGAGTCCCAGCGATCCGTACTTGTCGTATATGCTTCTCTTTGAGACGTCGGTAAGTATTGCGTGGGCGTTGTTGATTTCTTTAAACTTCTCAGTAGCAGCTGGATCATCTGGATTCTTGTCTGGATGGTGCTTCAGGGCCAATTTTCTTTAAAATAAAAGGAAAACAAGGAAACTGTTATTTGACAAGAATGAACGATGTCCTTTTAGAAAGGCACTGATCATTTGTACATTCTTTATTCATGCAAATACTGTGAAACGGTAAGTTTCAGACTAGTGATAAACTAATAAGTACATTTTCACTAAATGATGTCTCTTGTTTCGAATGCACAGGCACAATGGTACTATTTCTCCTCTCACATTTCCAGAAGAATTCTCAGTATCTGCATGATTGTTGAGTCTGAGAAATATTTGTTGCTAGCAAATATGCAAAGTTTCTTTTTACCAAGAAGCTATCAGTAGCTCACCCCTACAGACCTTTAAGAGCAACAGGACCAGTTTACATCATACTTTCTTTTAGTACCAGAAGAACTTTCCAGAATTAACAGAACGTCACAACATATATTCTAAAAGTTCAACTCAGCTATCAAAAAGTCTTTCTTGAACAAAATTGTCTTTCGTTAACCCTTCGTTAATCTTCCACAAGTCCTAACTCTCTCTTGGTTTTCTGAACAAATACTGTGACTTCCTTTGCATTCAAATACATATTTGGCTTCTTTCCAAATACACCTTTCCACTTACTAATCTATAGAAATTTACCTGTGGGCATAAGTCCTTCTCCTCTGTGGATCAGAAAGCAGTTCCTGAGGGACTCTGCTAGAACTTCCACCTGGCTCTTCTCCCTATGGTGCCTATGATAGGTCTATGTAGGAACACACCTTAAACTTTTGTTTATTGCATCAGTTTAAATCAAATTGTTTCATTTTAAAACAGTAACGTAAGTCCAGAAGTAAAGCAGAAGAGTAAGTATACCTTATAAATCAATCTACATGATAAATGGAACAAATCACATCTATTTTAGGAACTAAAGCATTAACGATTAGGAAGTAGATGAAAATTTAAGGAGCTCAGCATCAGGATGCTTTAAATCACCAAAATTTTTAAAAGCTGTTGCCCAGGCTGGAGCGACACAGTCTTGGCAAACAGAAAAAAAAAAAAAAAAAAAAAAAAAGGAAGTAAGAGATCTCTGGCAAATACACACATTTTCTTGTTTCTAGGGTGGCTTCCTGTCATTTTTTAAGCAGCTTGGATCTTTGTCAACTCACAAGGGCAGATGCACCCAATCCATTTATCACACTGCTAACAATGGAGTTGGGCAATTTGGAGAGCTGGAACACCTCCACTTGTAACACGTCCAATTCCTGGTCATCAGCAACATTTTGATTCCTCTTGGCAGATACTCTTGGCTCCGAGGAATCCTCGGGAAACATGGTGAGCAGAGACAGCTGCCAAAATTCCACAACCGTCAAGGAGGTGGTCGTGCAATGCCTCACCCTCTTGCGTGTTGTCCATAGGTGCCTATTCTATTTAAACAACTATGGAACGTAGGGTTTAAGGAAATGCTTGGAGTATGTTTAAATAGAATAGGCACCTATGCATTGTTAAAGGTATCTGTTGTCATTTCTACTTTGATACTTAAAGTGACATAATATTCAACCAGAATGTGAGTCTTTAACTCTAAATGTCCCTACACTCTTGGTCACCTGTCAATGTGTCATGGCTATAGCTAATATTAGAAATAGCATTCAATGCCTCTAATTTTCTCTTCAAAATCTAATGACAACTTTAAACTAAAATGCATAGTGAATTTAATTAGTGGAAGATAAGATAAACATGTGGTTTATAGTTATAATTATCTAAAGCCTTCAAGATCTTCCTATTTGGAGGCAGTGGCATAATTCTAAGAGTTGCAACGTTTGGCTCCATTCTCTTCCTTGCCACATCCAACACTTTAAGATGCAATCAAACTACTACTACTACCTACCATTCTCTACCAGTCTCTGAATCACCTGAGGCCCAATTCTGACCATGATGTCCCAGCTCTTAAAATATTTTCATGTTTATCAATCTTGTGGTTTGTATGAGGCTGTTATATATACTGTTTCGATATATTTGTAAAAGACTAAATGCATTTTAGTCTTTTACAAGTTTTTAGTTTGTTTTTTAAAGTTAATTTGTGGTATTTAAAAAATGCATATTCTTGATATGAATTCTTTGTCAGTTATATGTATTACATATATTTTCTCCCATTCTGGGGCTTTCTTGTTGTATTACTTTATGATATTTCTTGGTGAACAGAAATTCCTTATTTTATTTTACGTGAATTAGCAAATCTGTTCCTCAATTCAGGAAGATATTTTTCTATAAACTCTCTATAACTCTGAAATCTTTATAGTTTTTCCCTTTATATGGAAATCTATGGCCCATTTATACCCTGACATTGTAATGTGGTGGAGGGCAGGTGTCTAATCTCACTTATTTATATAGATATTCCACTTTTGTAGCACCATTTATTAGGAAAAGAAAATCCTTTCCCTGGATTTCTGGGATCTGTATTCTGCTCCGTTGGTCAATTTGGTTATTTCTGGACCAATAACACTCTTACACATGATGGTTTAAAATATATCTTCATATCTTAAAGAGCAAATTCTTCCATATTGTTGTTCTTCAAGAGTTCTGTGGTTATGCTGGGTCCTGTGTATGTCCACATGAATTTTAAAATTAATTTGTTAATTTACACACACACACACACACACACACACATATTCACACAACCAATTGAGATTTTTATTGCGTTTGCATTAACTCTATAGATTAATTTGGAGATTGGCATGTATAATATGTCCACCTATTTAGGTCTTTTTAATGAATTTTAAAGTTTTATCATTTTTACCTCTATGTCCTATGTCTATTTTCTTGGATTTAGTCCTGGGAGCTTAATTTTTTTGAGATTTTGACATATAAAAATTTTCCTAATTATTCATTGCAGATAAAAAGAATTTTTTCTATTTTTATACTTAGGTTTGAGATAACTGTTGTATGTTGATTTTTTTCATCCTTCTAACTTCCCAAGCTCATGTCAGAATTTTATTGAATTATAAATTCTTTTGGATTTTTCTACATACACAATTATATAATCTCAAGTGATAATTGGATTTTTTTCTTTCAAATCCTTATATCATTTACATTTTTTCCTTATCGTACTGCCCTGACTAAGGTCCCCAGTACGATGTCAAAAGTGGCTGTAACAGGCATCCCTCTTCGGAATTAACTAAGAGTGAATGGATGTTGAATTTTATCAAATGTTATTTCTGTACCTATAGAGAAGATATGTTATTTCTCTTTTGGTCTGTTAATATGATTGGCTGAGTTTTAAATGTTAGATGAAGCTTATGTTCCTGGGATAAACTCAAAATTTATTGCTGGATTTGGTTTTCTAATACATGAATTAAACTCTATAAATTTTTCTCTGAGTAGTATTTTGACTGCATTTCACATCTTCATATGTAGCATTGAATTCTAGATCTTTTATAATTTTAATTATGGTTTGTTATTTTTAGCCATGAGTTATTTTAAATTATACCTTCTAATTTTCAAACATATGGAAAATATCCAGCTATTTAAAAATTTTTGCTCTGTAACGTAATTGCATTGCTGTTACAGTACATATTTGGTATGACTGAAATCCTTTAAAATTTGAGTCTTGCCTTACGTCTTACTATTTTTATAAATGTTCCATGTGTGTTGAAAAGGATATATATTCTGTTCCTATTGGGTAATTTGTTTTTATAGTTTTCTATTTTGTTTGTTAATTGTTTTGTTCAAATAGTCTATATCCTTCTATAAAATGGATATAGAAGATATCCATTTTATTGATCTATCAAGCCAGGTGTGTTAAAACTTTCCACTATGACTGTAGGTTTGCAGATTTATCCTTAAAGTTCTGTCAACTCTTTGCTTTGTATATTTTAGGCCATGTGTTTTAGGAGCCTATGAACTTATAACTGTTATATATTCTTGGTGAATCAAATTTTTATCATTATGAAGTATCCCTCTTTATCTGTAGTAATGCTTTCTGTCTTCACTTTAATTTTAATCAAGCTATACAGCTTTCTTTTGATAAATATCTGCATAGCATCTTTGCCCCTCCTTTTATTTTCAAATTTTCTGTATTCTTAAATAGATGTGTCTTTTGTAAAAACCAGATGGTGTCGGTTTTTCATTCAGAATGACTTTTTTCTTTTAATTGAAGCATTTTGTCTGTATTTATTTATTATCTATAATTACTGATATTTTTCAAGTTTAGTCATCATATTCTATTTGTCCCCTCTAAAATACTCATATTTCTTTTCCCTTTCCTTTCCTTCTTGTTGGTTTAATTTCCCATTACTCTACTTTTTTACCTGTTGGTTTGAAAATTATATATTCTTTTATCATTCTTTTCAGGGTCCTTTGGAGATTTCAAAATCCTTGACTAATGTTAATGTACTTTTGTTTTCCTCCAAAATAACACAAAAATCTTAGAGCAAGGACACTGTTACTCCCTTCTCAACTTATGTGTTGTGGGTAGCATATACTTTAATTCTCTGAGTCTTTTAAGCTCTGAATAATTATTCTCTCATGAAATTAGCATGTAAGGATATTTTGTACAATTAATATTTGTATGTATGTACTCACATATTCACCATTTTTATTACTATTAGTTCTTTCCTACATCTCTGACCATCCATCTGAGATTATTTTCCTTCTGTCTACCAACATTCTTAGCACCTCCTTTAAGTGAAAAATCCGCTGGGAATTAATTCACAGTTTTCTCTAAAAAAAAGATTTAATATGACTTTATTTCACCTCAATTTTGAAAACCTTCCTGGATGTAGAATTGTAGGTTATCGGTTACCTTCTTTCATCATTTTGAAGGTTTTGGTCTACTGTCTTCTGGCTTATTCTATCTTGGTTGAAAAATCAGCTGTTAAGTCTAATTGTTGGGCTTTAAAAGTAATCTGTATTTTTTTTCCTCTGGTTGCTATAAAGGCTTTACAGCTTTAGATTTTGGAAGTTTTTCTGTGATGTTCCTGGGTATAGAGTTCTTTGCATTTATTTTGCTTGCTTTTATTGAGTATATGTGGTTTAAAGTCTTTCATGAACCTGGAAAATCGACATGTTTTTTCAAATGGCTTTTACCCATTCTTTTTCTACTCTCCTTTTTAGACTCCACTTGCTTATATCTAAGTTAGTGAATTTTCTATTTTTTAATCTTTTTCCATTTTCCATCCTTTTGTAATTCTTTCTTGTTAATGAAACTTCTTTATTTTTATCTTAATAAATTTTCCATTTTAAAAATCTTATTTCATTTTCCATCCTTTGTAATTCTTTCTTGCTATTTTCTTCTGACCTAGCTTCCAGTCAACTCTCGAACCTGGTAATCCCTACCTTTGGGTTTTTACTTTGGTGGTTGTATTTTCTGTTGTAGAGTTTCTGTTTCTTTTCCGAATCTGAAATATCCCTTTCCATAATTTTCAGGATTTTTTTTTTTAATTCTCAATCTCATGTTTTATCTTCTTGGTTGTAAATAGTTATTTTAACATCTGTATATGATCATTCAAATGGCTAAAATTCTCATGGTTCTGTTTCTATTATCTCAGTTCTGCTAAATCTTGTTCATATTGTCTTGATTTGTATGCTTATTCCTGTGACAAATGTTGCATTAAAACATATTTAAGAAAGAATTTGAGGACTAAGAAGATTTTATCTGAAACCAGAAAACATTTTTATTTCCTATTTTCAGATGTCTGGGGTCTGTGCAAAACTAAAATCATCTTTTAGTTTTTTTTAAACTAAAGAACAAGATTTTTTTGGCTACCCAGATGACTCAAAGTTCAGTTGCAGTCCATACAAGACTAGTGTTCCTATTATTTATTCCTCTGTAACAAGCTGCAGTAAACTTTAAAGTTTAGTAACTTAAGGCAACAAGAATTTTATTTAATTGCTCCAGTGTTGTCACTGAGCAGAAGTTGGTGGGGACAATTTTCAGCTGTGCTTGGCATTGGCTGAGGAAATGTCATTGGAGCTGGTGGATCTGCTCCCAAGATGGCTTCATATACGTGCTGATAAGTTGGTGCTGGCTGTTGTTGGGGAGCTCAGCTAGGACTGCTGTCTGGAGAAATCTGTTCTCCTCCACGTGGCTTTTTCTCATGGCTAGGTGAGCCTTCTCATAACAAGATGTTCTTGGGGTTGTTAAATTTCTTGAATGGTGGCTAGCTTAAAACAAAAGTAGAAACTGTTAGACCTTTTTAAGATTTAGGCACAGCATCACTTCTGCCGTATTCTATTGGTTAAATTGGGTTAGAGAGCCATCCCAGATTCATGACATACAACAAAGGACATGAAAACCAGGGGGCATGGTTGTTGATGACCACCAAAGTAATTGTCAA